CATAAGGAATATATTCATAATATTTATAGAAATAACAAAACAGTTACACAAAAAAAAGATGAAAAAAATTAAATTTAAAGTTTAAAATTTAAGTTAAAAAATCATTTTTAGTTAAACAGTTTTAGTATCAATACAATTTAATTGTATTTTTAAATTTGTAAATTGTGAAAAGTGACTGACATACCAACTAGTCATAGCCAACTATCGCCAATTTTAGGCTTTAAGTTTTAAGATTTAAGCTTTAAGATTTTGCAAACAATTGTCATCGCTTAAATGGCGATGCAATAGTATAAAAAAAAAATTAAGAAATCAAGCAGTCAACATTATCTTTTCCCTTTAAATGACACTTTTTTCACCCAATAATACGTACGACATGACACCCCTCTTATACCATTTGTCGACGTGCAATTAGAAAGAGGCAACATAAGTGTCAGCATGATAAAAATATTATTGGAAGTGTAGGTATCTTGATTATATAAGTATTTATTTTTAACTAAATTGATGCAACAATTTGGGCTACTATTTTATGTAATAGCGTGGTCGTGGTTAGTGGTAATTATTGTAAATATTAGTAAATAAGATATTAACGATGTATTGAAATAGATTACCTTTCCCGCAAGAGTTTTTTTTTAAACATCTATTATCCATCTGTGGGTGTATTCATATTTGTAAGCTTTATATTAAAAAATAAAAGCTATTAAAAACATCAACTGTATAGAAGCAAAATAAATATAGAAAACTATTTAAATTAAGGAAAGTATTGATAATATTTACAATCTGTTTAGAAAAATAAGTAAATAAGCTATTTTTAAAACCAGATATTACGCGACGTGTCCATTGACACTATGTACTTCCAAATATAATTTATAGGATTAGATAATTAAAAATAAATGTTTATTTAATTCAATTTTATTATATAATAAGAGGAGATCTCGCGGCCTATTCCACTTTGGGCGGCGAGGAGGATTGTCAGGTATTGTGAAAGTTGATAGTTCAGGTACATATGAGGGGATTTGAGTGATTCATATGGACTTTGTTATTGTAGTAGGAAGTAACAGTATATAGCATTGGTATGATGATGCCTCGGTGTAATATTGAATAAAAAAAAATTAAAAAAACTACAAAGAACTTGAATGAACTGTTGATACATTTACACTTGGTAGGTAACTTACGGTTAACTTTTTTAGTTTTTACTAACTTTAGCGGACAACATTTTTGAACTTGTAACCTTTTTTAAGCGGTAAACGTAAAAACCATCTCGTAATAAGTAATAATAGTCTTGAGAGTCGAGTTAACGTTATGCTAGTAATTTCTGCACAGTGTTTAAAAAATTAAAAGTTTAGAGAAAATATTATGAAACTACTTTCAAGCCAACAAAAATATCGTATGTAATGTTTCTTCTTTTTTAAAGATTAGTTAAAATAATAAAAAAAACAATAAATACAATTGTTATTATTATTATATTATTATCAAGTATGTACTATTAGCTTCGACTTATATTTTGTATTTTAAACAAGCAAAGGTATTAAATAGTTATTAAACATATAGGATGTCAACGATTTTCCCCCATAAATTTGAGCCCTGTTTGTCTATTTTTTTAAAGTAACCATAGCGTTTGACAATTAAAAAAAACTGGTTAGGTTGTAGTCAGGATGAAAGTGACCAAAATAACTGATTTCCAAGTTAGTACTAATTTTAATACAAAATATATTTTTCTTGTCGTGAATTCCTGTTTAAATATTGCTACCAATTGAGGTCGAGCACAAGGTTTTTCTCAGAAAAAATCCACTTAATTCCTCATAATGGTGTAAATGTATGGGACGGGTCTTTTTAGAATACTGAACTATTGTTATATTTTCTAAAAAAAATTGTGTAATTCCAAGACATCCAACTATAAAAAAAAAAACATTTTACCTATAATGTAAATCTGTGTCATCACAAGAATATCTTACTAGCAATGGTTATCTATGGTATGTATTACATTAAAATTAGACCAGGTCATCATGTTTTTTTTTAAAGAATACTTATAGTTTAACTTGTTGCTGTGTAAGAACACAATGACAGTGATTAGAAAGAGAAAAGCCTGCCAATAGGCTTCATTTAGTTAAGTGAGGAAAAGCACAACCTTTTCGAGCATGCTATAGGGTTGTGTTTGGGTATTCCATGACAAAAGTGTCCTGATTTCCTAAGCAATTTAAATAATACACGACAGCTATGAAAAACAATTAAGACTCTTGCAGATTTTTATTTTTTATTTCAACTGTAAAATAACAAAACAGAATATTGTGACGCCGTTTTAGCCGTTAACGGATATTTAGAATACCATTGAAATAGAATAGTAGTAGGCTGGCGCCATAAAAAACAGCGTTGTGCATTGTTAATACTTTTCTCGTTTTTTTCTATACACTCGGACGAGAAAATATTCCAACCGAATTCCGTAAAAGTAACTTTTATGTCGTCGAATGGGGCGACAAAGCCAACTCAATTGGCGCTAGATAAGACGTTATTGTCAAAATTCGTATAACCACACATTTTTACTAGTATTGTTTAAGACGAATATTACGAGTTACAAGGTCTAAAGTAATCGAGATTTTTCCATTTAAACCTAATAATTTTATAAATCATAATGATTAAAGCTAACTCTTGAGACACATCTATGTTTAAATTTTAATATTATTTACTAAATAACAATTATGTGACACTGAAGAAACTCTTAAAATTGTTTAGGCGAATTGAATACGACTGTTGATTAATGTTAGGACATAATTTTTAGATGCACAATTTAAAAATATAAAAACGTGTAAGGTACGATTTTAATTGTGCAACTAGTATAGACCACAGATTAAGATTTTAGAGTAAGTCATAGCAAAAGAACATGTTGTTTAGTTCTTGGTTTTATGTCAAAAACCTACTCACATATTTTCAAGTTCGCAGTTTGTAGATTAGAAACAATCATAATTAATATTACAATTAATTTTTTTTCACATACATTCTTTGTGAAATGCATTTGTTGATTCATCCGCATATGGTCGAAAATGTTTAAAACAAATTTTCTCATAAATATTGCCTATGTAAAACTCCTTAAAAACCGTCCGCTCCAAAAAAGTTACTGGTCTGTAATCGTTATAAGTTATAACGATTCATGACTTTAAGTAACAGAATAACTCTTGAGAAACCCTTTAATACGAATCTGAGGAAACAGTTAATTTCCTACCGAGCTGGATTTTTACATTAAACTATAGTCTATAAGATATAGCTAGCTGTGATTTAACTTCGATGTGCGTTAATTACAATATGCATTCTCAAATCAGAGTTGAACTCGGCTAGTTGTTCCTTTGAAAATCGATTTCTTTAATTTGTTTAACTTGCAGGCGTAGAAAAAAATTAAAATTCACAAAAATTGAACAACGAAACAACATCCAAATTATATGTATTTTAATATATGGCAGTAAAAACATTTGATAATTTTTTTTGACAATAACAAAATTAGTAATTAATCAAAACGATCGATACATTAACGCAATTTTTTTTTGGGGCTCGGTAGCTGATTGATATCGTGTTTTATGTTATAGACATAGTGTTTCTATCATAAGAACACGTGTGGCCCTGTTGTATACAATATAATAATATAATGATGATAATAATATGGAGTGTATATTTTATACAGGCGCCGTTTAGACGAGACCGACGATCGGGCTACTATTTAATTGGACGCTAAATAATGCTGTGTTCATTTTTTTCTTCTATTTACAAAATCGTTTGTCGTTTTTTTTTTTTTTGTAATACACACCAACAGTCGAAACGTCAATTTAATTATTTTTAATACAGCCGGTATAGGTCTAGTCTCGGTGGTATGATTAATAATATACATAATAATATTTTTTTTTACATAAAACACACACTGGCGTCGCGTACACGGTTAGGTTTTTTCCTTCAGCTGCTGCCGCCGATCCTTCGATGTTATCTACCGAATTTTTTTTTGGACTTTTTTTCTATAAAAAAGACCACGCTTTCAGGAATATATTATTATAATATGTATACACTATATATTAATTAAAATAATCTATATAAAATCCCGGCCGTCGGCCCACGCTTTTTTCACCTATTATAATAAATAACTATTAAAGCATCCGCGTCCGGGTTTAACGTGAGGGCGTCGGATCGTGTAGGTGTCACGCTTAGCTGTGTTTTTACTCTTTTTCATACTTAAATTCGATTGTGTGTCGCGGTAGTCTTACAAGAAGAATCGGCGGGTCCCAAAGGGTAAAAAGAACTCTATAATCCGGACTCGCCTTCGAATGAGTGGAATTATTAACAAAAAACACTCAGGAACGCCCAAACGTCTTAAACATTAGGTAGGTATTTTAATTCGATCGGGAGCACATGCTCGCACAATCGGCAACCGCCGATAGGTCTACTTACTCTGTTTGGGATCGCCGTTTAAACTTAAATAGTTTTAAAAATAATTAATTAAAAACTGGTTATCGAGCAGCGAATATTTTCAAAAAATTATTCTTATTTTAAGAAGTCAATTGATGTTCTTATTTAGGTTTCATAAGTTAACAGCGTTCTAGAAAATACTAAAAAAGGAAATATTTGTTAATTTTATAATATTACCTATACGATAATATAATTATACTTAGAAACTAAACTAACATAGTTTGAACAAGTACAGTATAATATATCAGTACAGTGCAAACTGTACTTTGGCAAAAAATTGTAAATATTTTCCGAAAAAACTGGTGTTAAATGGATCACAGGTATTGATAAATTGACTTGCGTTACTTAAGTCTTACGTTGCTTTTTAAGATAATTTATGATGTATTAAATCATTTTCTTTAACCGAATACCGCTCGGTCTCCTGCGGTACTAACTATATATATTATTGTAATATATAATATATAACGGTTGCGTCTGGCAATTTTTTTCATCGACACAGCATTAAAATAATTTAGAATAATAAACGTTTTGTTTGATCTTATCATAATATGTGTGATCTTATTATATATATATATATATAATAATGTTTTATTATGTACATAGTGGAAAATAATTTACAAACACAATAATAAATAATATATAAATCTACTGGGACGTAAAAATAATGTTTTGTATAAAATAGATAAATTACGATTATTATATAATTGTTATATAAATACAAAAAAAAAATTAATTACACAAAAAATTGGTATATTAACTTGGGGTTTGATAAACAAAAATGATTCACAATACGACATTTGAGTGATTAAAACCTAAAATATAAAATTACGAAGAAAGTCGAAACAAAACGATTGACAGTTACCAAAATTGTTTTCAAATTTGGTAAAAAGAAAAAAAAAACTATTCAGTTCTGTATGTGTTTCTTGCGAGATGAGAGACGGACAGATATTTTTAGCTAGGTTCTTAAAAATCTAACTAAATAATAAAAGTATTTTAGAAACCGGTATATTATGGAATTTCACCCGCGATATACGGGTGTTTGATTAACATTTATTCTAAGACCCTGTGAAGTTTCCAGTCCGTCTCTGCACAAGAATACAGATAATATTATAATACATAAACGGAAATTATTAATTACTCTATCAACGAGACAGCCACGCACTATCATAAAGTGTACTGCGGTCAAACAATCAAAAACCATCAAATAGTATCAAAACTCATAAGACTGTTCGTTTTCAATTTAACATAACGGTGTTCGTTTTGGATATGAACAAATATGATTTTCGGCCGTCCGGCAAACCTTAACAATCTAATTGGTCGAAATAATATAAAATAAAAATAATAATGTGTTCGTACATAATATTAAGACTAGTAGTGTGCAACAAGTCGACAGTTTGACTTGTATATCAAAAAAAAAAAATAGGGAGGTTGTAAAAAGTACGGGTTGACTATTGATCGGAGTCGGCACAACCACAACCGCATTCGGTAACCACGGGATACTCCACTTTGATCCACTGGCACACCTTTACGGGATTGACGACACCCGGATTTTTGGTGCCCGGCAAAGTGTTGTACTGCTGCAGCAACGTCGAAGGCCCGGCGCTCCGGCAGTGCCACCGCAACAGCGTCTTGTACCGGTTGCCGGTGGCCCGGCAGTACATGCCTGACGGTATCGAGCACGACGATTCGCCCTTGGGACAATGGCCCTCTAGGAGGTACCGCGGCCAAAACCGTTGTCCCAGGTCCTTCCACCGCCGCTGCACCGGGCACATGGTCCGGCCCCACAGGTACTGTTGGATTTTCCGGCGCAGTTGGCTCGATATCTTGGTCCTCAACCGCCGACCGTCGGGCAGCGAAAAGTACTTGGTGTCCAAGTCTCTGATCTCGGCCGGCATTCTGCCCGTTGGCACCAATCGCCCACGACGATTCCTCCTGTGCAAACGCAAATAGGCACACACGTTAATATATTATAATTGTTATCGTTAAATAATCGCAGTATTTTTTAAAAATATCTAGCAATGTTTATTGTTTAGTATGTCTGATGTAGAAACCCCTCAAAAGAAACTATCCCCTTAAAAAACTACTTTTTAAGAAAACAAGCTGGCTAACATTGCCCGACCTTTTTTTATTAATAATCTCCAAGAACTAGGAGAGACCTAACATAGCCTTATTTTTTTTACATTGGAATCAAAGATTAGGAGTGGCACCGACCGTGGTCATTTGACATTTTACTCTGAAAATGGAATATGCAAGTATTCCGAAACGTTGGAAGATCAGTAAATCAAGAAACCGCAAGATATTTTCATTAAAATGCTACATTTATAAAAAAAAAAAAAAATGAAATATATAAATAATATTTAGTGTGGGTTATATCTGCTAATATTATAATATATAAAATAGCGTCGTTTCTTCTGAGGATTTTGGTACACTATATTTCGGTCACGATTAAATTTGAAATATATACATTGGTATAAAACCATAAAAATACAAAGCGCCGCCTTAATGTTCTAATATATAATATTAACATGTCATATGGTATTTAAGGCTATATAGTTCATACTAAGAGTTAAAGAAATAAAATATTTAAATAAACTCTTAACCACAAAAATAATACTTATCATATTATCTTATTAAAATAATAATTATCTTTTATTTCAAATTTCCCGATCAGCATATTGTCAACATACATTATTACATTGCATGCGATTTCCTATTGAGGTATTTTGGTTGCAAAACGTTTGGCAGTCTACATTAAGACGTATTACCACCTATTGTTGTAACTAACCTGAAGGGAATGTCTGCGACGGGAAATAGTTGCTCAGGTGTGACGACGCTCATGTAGTCCGGATCGAACTTGGCGCCCAGTTTGGCCAGCAACGCGGTGACGTTCAGGTCGGACGGTCTGGGATCCAACGCCGGGTTGGGCATTTCGATGAGGTCTGGCACGGCCCCTGGATCGTTGGATGGCACCGGCCGCAGGTCCACTAGCCGGACGGCGGTGGCACACATGGTGCGGCGGATCGAACAACACGCCAGCGCGACCAGCACGGACCACCATTTGACAGTCATCTAAAAAAAAAAAAAAAAAATCCACCGTTATTATTTAATAAGATAATCTTGAATAAGATTAATTTTATACAATAAACTCCAAAAGCTTATTTTTTTTTTTAATAGAAAACCAAAAAAAAAGTCACTCGTTATTGAAACGGCTTTAGCTAAAATTCTGAACAAGCCTGCGTGGCCGTCGAAAGGAAGGCGTCGGTCGCGTGCGTTTGGGTCGGTTTTCCGCACGTTTAAACCACGCGCATGCTTATACAAAAAAAAAAAAAAAAAAAATTTACACCTGTAACGCGACACATGCTATTATTATAATGTGTAGAGAAGAGGAAAAAATTCCAAAAAAGAAACCCAACTGGATTCTTTGCCGGCACATTAACACCTCGACGGCGCGGCGATCCGTAACAGTAATTCGTTCCGTCGGCCACACACCGCAGTCGGTTTCGGATTCGACGTCAATCATCCGAAGACCAAAATCATTTTGGGAAATCTCTATGCCGACAAAAGATCGGCCTCGGACCGACCGATCAACATTAGTCCGCGTGCGTGCACCCCCCCCCCCCCGCTTCCCCCTCCTCAGTAGCCTCGGACATAAGAAATAATATGATAATATTCTCTATTTTCCCCCGGAATGACTTTTTTCTTTTGAAACGCGACACCATCGGGTATATTGGGGGGTCGGATCGAGTGGCCGCGGAATCAGTGTCCACACAAAAAGCCATTTAAGGTTGTGATAAACGTCTCGATAGCACGCAACGATGACGTGGATATAAATTATACATTGTTTTTTTTGTTTTTTTTTGTACTATCGAAAGAAATTTCAGAAAGTCGCATAAGGTGACTCGTGTCATTAGCGCTCAGTGACGCCGGTTCGACACTCGGCCACGGGTGGTCTCTATCTGAGAGAAGATCATCTACAATCCTCTTCATAGGAGACTAAAGTAGGTTTTTTTTTAAAAACCTACTTCCGGTCAAATAAAGTCGTACGCAATAATTATAATAATAATAATACTTGTGTAAAGATTCACCAAACCGTTAACGGGGACTTATAGGAACACTTTGAAAAATATCATTTTCAGTTTGTTCTTTTGTACAATTTTATTTAAAACACTTACTAAACCCACCAGAATTAATACAGAACGCTAGGACTTATTATCACTTGGAACTTCCAATTTGAAAGAGTATTCTACTACCGCGCTTAAGAAGTCGATTAATGGGAGTTTGGTAAGCAAGGAAAAATGAATGTGTTTCGCAGAAACATTTAATGTAACGGTTATACCTTTTGTACACATTATATGGTGACTATATCTATTGTAACTTGTACCTACAACGTATATGGACTATTGTTAAATAATTACTGAAATAATTTGGACAATAGAAGGGCTACGCACAAAAAAAATGAGGTCCAAACGCTTTATCCGTTGTTAACAGTGTGTGTTCATTACACGCTTATAATTTATACACATATAATAATATAACAATCGAGTGCGCTTAATGATTGTTAGCCGGGGCTTATGTATATTATTCAATTTCTCGGTATAGTCTATAATATATCATTGTTTTTAAAACCAATGCTAGTATATAACGTTCAAAATTCATAAAATATAAGTAAAATTGTATACGACCGACTACTTCCACTTTAAGTTTGTGCAAAGATCTTATTTATAGCGGTAGAACAGTACAGTACCTATATTACAATGATCAGGAAGGATCTTTGCCTCCCCCTCCTAATGCGCGACTTTATGCTGTAATTATAAAACAAATAATGTCACAGCTATATGGGTTTCTTATGAAAAGTACATGGATAATGTCTTAACATATAAGTAGCGAGCAAGCCAAAGTAATTTTTGAACGAATGATTGTTTTTTATTCAACATCCATAAGCAATTTGTTTTTTTCCTAATATTTTTATTAAATACTAACGTTTTACTTAGATGTCTATAGGACTTTTAAATGGCTAATATAAACTTTTTCATTGTTAAAATCCGGATTTTTATTGTCCCATGACCACTGATTAGCTTATACCTATCGGAGCCCGATAGACGATAATATGATCACACACTAATTGATCCGAACAGATGTCCCAACAACGGTGCAGCGACCGTAAAACGGAAAACGGTGCGGTCGATAAGTGGGCCCCGTGCACCGGGGTCGCGTTGCGTTGGGCATCGAGGCCCATTGACAAATTCCACAGTGACAAAGGCCCCGGTGGAATAATTCGGCCCGTGGAATGCCACCGCCGCGATCTAACAACAACAACAACCAACAATAATATACGCATGCACCATCGCGCCGCTTTAGTTTATTGCTGGTGTACGAAGGCGGCGCGTTGCACCCTCGATATGTATACACGTGTTTGTGCAGCCAGCCGGCGAGCGTAGACGACAATGAGAAGAATGTCGACCGTTTTTACCGACAGGGAAGCCGCCGCCACCGCCGACGCCGACACCTCTTCTTAAATAATATGCGGCCGCCGCAATAGATTAACACATTCCACCGCGGGGAGTTTTTAAACGCCACGCAGACCGCGGAGAAGTATAATTGTTCTTCTTCGGATGTAAAAACGTCAAAGAGAGAGAGAGAGAGAGAGACATAGAGAGGGAATGAATACACCCGTTCCCACCAAGTTCACGATGAAAAACCGTCGTCTTCGGCGACGCGCGAGTCACTACTACTACTCGTTCAAGGTTTATGTGTATTAAAAATACAATTTTTTTTTCTTCTTCTCGCGCTTCGATCCGGTCGAGTTACCGCAGTCGTGACGACGGCGAATAACGCATGAGGTTACCCGGGCATTGTGGTGCGCGTGACAAACGATTTCACGGGGGGAGGCCCAGGTAATCGGCGTGAACGGTTTAATTGGACCGCGGCCGCGGCCGCCGCCGCCGCCCGGACCGGACACGTCCCGTCGGTGCTCGGTGGTAGGCGTTTACTGGCGGCGGTGACACCCGCACATCCGGTGTCCGCAACTGATTGAATGGCAGCCGCCGGCGACGTGTTTTAACGTGGGTTTCAAGAAAAACAGGAGGAGGTGATGGAGTTAGGAAAACAGAACATTTTTACAAAGGAGAGTTAGTCATTTTCGTTGTAATTCACCCTCGACCTAGATCCCTACTTAACTAGATTCCTGCTCGCCCGCCCCCCTTCTAGTTAACTACCATCAAACCTTATCAACATTTTTGCTGACCAGGTTTTAATCCAAAGGCGGGTATTGCACTCTGTTGGATTAAGACGGCCACACGAAGGATCTATGTCTTAAAATATGTCTCAACTCGAAGCGGTTTTAAAATGCTTTAAATCTGTTGAAGCGTGTAAAAGTAACTGTCCCAAGTATAAATACTAATCAAAACTACCCTCTCTAGCACTTTGATATACTGAAAAAAATTCCATATTTCGGCTCATATCCTCGACAAAGTTGTAGATTATGATCATAATTTGTCCATTAAGTTCTAAGTTTTCTATCACAACAGTTGCCATTTGGGGTGATAATAAGTAAATAATAATTTAAGCAATGCATCAACTTGTTGTGTTCTTCTTCTTGTTTACCTACTTAAAGGGCGGCAATTGCCAACCGATGTACCTTGCATATATTTTTAAAGCTCCACAAATCACTTTTAAGGGGCTAGCGTATAGGCAATTTTAAAAAAATCTAAAAGACAGCTCTGCCAAAAAAAAAAAAAAATACACAAAACAATTGTTTAATCAACTATATTATTATCCCATAAGACAAATTGATTACAAATTACTATAAAACAATGTATTTAATTATCAACTACAAACAACACAACTACGCTAATTCAAAAACTGATCAATCCTAGTCGGGGATGTGCTAGAAGTAAAAAGGAACTAATTATATGAACTTCACACAGTTTTTCACGTATACAGTTGTTATTAATTTTCAATAAATAAGCGCTCCTACGGATTTTAGGCAAACAAAAATATAAAGCTGAACCTGCGATGAAGGAAAAATGTAATTAGTATTATACTAATCAAGAAAAAAGGGTCTGTATAGTATTATACTACAAAGGGACGCAAAATAATATCGAAAAAGCGAGACGAAAGTAAAAAAAAAAAAAAATAAAAGTAATAACAAGTAACAAACGTCATCCCACCCTTTTTAGATCTTAAATTTACATTCCAGTCAGCATGGGCGTAGTGTACGAATATGGGCTGTTTCGTAGGATGGTGGTGCCCCTTATCGACAATATATATATTTATATTTACTAAATGCATGATAGGTGAATAATAACAACCGAGTACATACTATTGTATACAAAATATATCGTAGGCCTATACCTCTTTTATTACTTTTTTTTATGAATCCAGTTTGTTTTTTTTATATCACTTCTAGACGTCCGGTCTGCGGATACTACAGTCATTGCTTTTGCAAGCCAGAATCCAGGCAGCCCAGACACTATGCCACAATAATATTAATATGTAAACGTCATTAGATGTTGGTTTTTAATTGTTACACCTCACTGTATTGTTGTAATAGAAACCGTTTTTTTTTAACTGGTTATTTTTTTTATTTTTGGTATCTTTTACGAATTCGACAAGTTTATTTTCAATCAAATGTTCATAATTTTAACAAAAACTAGCTCATTATTTAGGAAAGCTAATAAAATATTTTGTGTTTCAAGTATTATATTATTATTCAAGTATTATTTAATACAATATTTATCTAATCAAAAAAAACAATTAAACAGCATTTGAAAATAATTTGTAACAAAAACCATGGCGTATCATCGGTAAACATTTAATTTGTATATTATTTACGTGTGTATGATATTTCATCTTTGGTGGACGGTTTTCGAAAATTAGTATACAAATTTAGATAGTTTAATACTATTTAATACTACTTACTTTAATAATATGTTTAAAAAAACAGGGGCGGATACATGGGGGGGGGGGCTATGGGTACTAAAGGTTATCCCTTATGTACTTAAATTGTAAGCATTAAAAGTGTATTTTTATGATAATGAATTCGATTATTTATAAAAAAAAAAAATGTA